CGATGTTGAACTGCCCGAGGGGTACAAACCTCCAAAGTTCGAAATATTTGATGGTACAAGAGATCCAAGGATCCATCTGAGAACGTACTATGACAAGCTGGTTGGAGTAGGGAAAGACAAGAGAATCCGCATGAAGCTTTTCATGAGAAGCTTGAAAGGAGATGCTTAGTCAAACTGGGTAAGCATGGCGTCCGACTTTATGGACAGATTCAGGTTCAATACAGAAAATGCACCAGATGTGTTCTACTTTCAGAACCTAAAGAAGAAGCCCGCGGAAACATTCCGTGAGTATGCCACTCGTTGGAGATCAGAAGCCGCTAAGGTCAAACCTGCTCTAGAGAATGAACAAATAAACAAGTTTTTTGTCCGGGCTCAGGATCCTCAATATTATTAGAGGCTAATGTTGATTGAGAACCATAAATTTTCTGACATCATCAAGCTGGGATAAAGGATCGAGGAAGGCATCAAGAGTGGTATGGTTACAAACTTTGAAGCCTTGCAAGCTACCAATAAGGCTTTACAGTCTGGTGGTACGTCTAAGAAAAGGGACGTAGGTGCTGTAATGGTTGCACAGAGGACCAAATCCCCTATAAAATACCAAGCCTATACAATGCCTCCACTCACATATAAACCTACTCTGAACTACCAAGCACCCTCACCCTCTCACTAAACTCTACCACCCACTTATCAATCATCCCCAACTCACACATATCAGCTTACTTCGCCCAGATACTCCCAACCCGCACATGTTTACCAATCCTACAATACTCAACCATCCCACTATGAATTGCCTCCCACATGTCAAAACTTTCCTAAACCTCGACCAAATTTTGACCGCAGGCCTCCCAAACAGTATACCGCCATTGCTGAACCCATTGACCAACTGTACGAAAGGCTCAAAGATGCTGGTTATGTCACCCATATCCCTGCTATAACCCCTGAAAACCCTTCTCAATGGGTCAATCCAAATAAATCATGTGCATACCATTCCAGCATGAAAGGGCATACCATTGATAAATGCCGCTCTCTAAAAGACAAGATTCAGACTTTGATTGATAGCAAGATCATTGTGGCAAAGGAGCCTACTCCGAATATCCGCAACAACCCTCTGCCGGACCATAAGGGTGTAGGTGTTCACATGATTGAAATAGAGGATGATTGGGACCCCAAAAGATCGATCGGTTTAATCACAGAAGGTGACGAACCAAAAAAGCCAATAGTCACCCTTAATCCGATTGTAGTCTAGACTCAGCCTTTTGGGGATGTCGATAAACATGTATGTACCACTTGAGTTTGAAGCACCACCCCCTGGAAAGACGGAAACACCAATTGAGGCCGAGTTTGGGTCTCCAGCAAACGCACCTGCACCGTTTGAAGTTGTAGTTTTACACTCCAAAATACATGCTCTGTTCGGAGTAAAGGTGCCCATTCCAGTAGCAATGTCGGCCATAACACCGTTCCATACAAATGCCATACCTTGGGATTACACAGCCGAGGCGAGAAGGAAAGGGAAATCCAAGTTTGGGGAAATAGTTGTGGCACAGGGTATGACAAGAACCGACAGGGTTAATACTCCGGAGCATTTAGCTGAGTCGAGTAAGCAGGCCTCTGGTCGGCCGACCATCACTTAAACCGAGCCCGATGATCTTTGGAGAAAGATACAAGCCAAGGAATACTCAGTCATTGATCAGTTGAACAAAACACCGGTACAGATTTCTATCCTAGCTTTGCTGCAAAGTTCCGATGGACATAAGAATGCCTTGTTGAAGGTGCTGAGTGAGGCATATGTACCAGGCAACATCACCGGAGGAGAAATGACAAACATGGTAGGGCAGGTATTGGAAAGTCACAAGATCACTTTTCATGAAGATGAGCTGCCACCAGAAGGGTTGAGTCACAATAAGGCGTTGCACATTACCGTACAATGCGAAGATTATTTTATCACCAGAATTCTGATTGATGGAGGGTCCAGCCTCAACATTTGTCCATTGGTAACACTCAGGACATTAGGAAAGGGGCTGCACGAGATAAAGGACGGAGCCATCAACGTGAAAGCTTTCGACGGTTCCCAAAGGTCCACCATTGGGGAGATTAGTCTGTGTTTCCAAATGGGGCCAACTTGGTTCGATGTTGATTTTCAAGTGATAGACATGCCGACATCTTACAATTTGTTATTGGGACGACCGTGGATTCATGCCGTTGGGGCCATAGTGTCAACACTACATTAGGCACTGAAATTTGAGTGGAACCACCAAGAGGTAATCATTCACGGCGATGGTAGCAATCCCATATACAGTTGCTAGACCATCCCAGCAATCGGAGGCAGAAAAAAGATAGCCAGGGAGACCTATCACCATATCGAGCGAGTCAACGCCGTCAACAAGGACAAATGGTGTGACAATAAAATTGAAAGCATATTGAACTGGAGTGGATACGAACCTGGCAAGGGGCTTGGCAAGAACCTCCAAGGAATAGCTAAGCCTATCACACTAAAGAAACATGGCACCACCTTCGGTCTGGGATATGAGTACACTTGGGAAGAATTCAACAACTGGTCGCCACCATGGCGTGGTTTTTATTATCTGCTGGAGCAACCAATACCACATTTGGAGCAGACTTTCTAGCCAGCCGATGTTATCTATGGGTCAGAAAAAGAGGAAGCACTGGCAACATCGAGGAATTTGTTCCTATAAGACGATGATATGGACTGTTGTGTTGTTCTCGAGGAGGAGGGGGATGAAGGCCCTTCCATACAGGTAGTAAGCAGAGGAGCACGCCTCAATAACTGGACCATCAAAATCACCAGAGCCTGGAAAGCCTCGGGGTAGCAAGGCTGAACAAGCATCATGCATTATCTTTTATTTTTACTAATTGACTTTCCTTTTGCATTTTTAAATTTCGCAATAAGATCTTCAATGTTCAAAACAGTTATGGAATTTATTAAAGCATTTCGATTTTCCCTGTAAATCCTACTCTTATTATTTTTCTCTCATTACTTTACTTATACAGCATTACTATTACTTATCTTAATGAACCAATGACTGTGACATGCAACGAGACAACGCAACAAACGGACATAGATTCATAGGAAGACAACATACCGGAAGAGATTGTTAAAGAAGTCGAGAATTTTGAGAACAAACCTAAGTCCAACCTAGACGAGACTGAGATTGTTAACCTAGGAAATGCAGAGAACGTCAAAGAAACACAAATGAGGCCATAAGAGAATTCCTTTGAGGCCATAAGCGAATTAATTAAATAGCACACCTCAATCTAATTAAAAAGNTATTTTTTAGAGTACCAATTTTCAGAGAGTGATTTTTTTTGTGTCCAAATCCCTCTGTGAATTTTGTGAATAGGAGTCCCTTTATAATGGAGAAAAATCCCAGCTCCTCTCCCATGTGCCCTCTTCAGAAAAAGAATCTTTCCTAACTAATTTTACAGCTATCCCTTTCTTATCCAATCCCAGCACCTTTTTTTTACAACAAATCGGGACATCTAGTGCTATTCTAGAACCTTCCTAAAACAACCAGCCCAGAATTCCTTTTTTTTTTTTACTTTCTAGTTAACCCCCATTAGACTTTTTTTCTTGCAAATAACTCCTCAAACTCGAACTAATTAGACATACATGCACTAACTGATTTTGCACTAAAACAAAATATATTGACCGGATTTGGACATCAATCCGGCCAAGACAGGCAGACCAAACAAGAATCAATAATTAAACATAAACCGTGCAATTAGCTATTGCCTAACACACGAGACCATCCTAAAAAACCAAAGATTGTTGCTACTTTAATTTCTTTATCCGGTTAAAAAGAGAAAGAGAGAAAAAGAAACAGAAAAATAGAAGGAACGGGAAAGGAAAATAAAGGAGGAGAAGAAGAAAAGGAAACAAAGAAAGAAAAAGAAGAAAAGAGAAACAGAAATACCTAAAATAGTTAAACAGATAGTTTGCTTGAACGGACCTCCGACATCCTCCAATTTAGACCGAAATTAGTATTAATCGAATGTTCTTGTTGAGAACAAATGATCAATACAAGTTTCAGGTCAAATCATTCTTGGAAACTTTGAAGAATTGGAACAAATCTTTCCTTCTTTTTTTAGATCTAAAATTGGCCGGTTTTGGTGGGGATTTTGGGAAAGTTGATATGGAATTAAGGCTTAGGGGTGTGAGGGGAGTGTAGGGTGTGAATTCAGGGATGTTTGGAGGCATTTAGGGAGTCGTCGCCGGCAGAGAAGAAGAGGGGTTTGGGGGCGGCTAGAGTTAGGATGTTTGAGAGAGAGATAGAGAAGTAAAGAGGTCCGGTGAGGTTTGGGGGAATGGGGGGGGGGGTCTAGCAATTATAAGGAAAGGGGCAGTGAGTTCCCAGCCGTTGGATCATCAAAGATCAATGGTTGGGATGAAATGTCTCAAACGGCATCGTTTCAGGGTGAGGCGGGCTTGGAACGGGTAGGCTGGAATTGGGCTGGGTCAGGTTGATGGGAAAAAGGGGTTGGGCTTTAGCATTTGGTCCAAACAGCAGCCCTTTATTTTATTGATTATTTTTTTCCTCTCTTTTTTTCCATTTGTTTTTCTTTTCCTTTTTAATTAATTAAAACACCTAAATTAACCTCCAATTAATCTAAGTTGTAAAATTAAACTAATTATCAAATTACAAAATTTATAAAAATTACGTGATCCTAAATTAAAAGAGAAAAATCAATAATCTAAAAATTAAAACGTAAGAATGTAAAATGAGCCATTTTTTGTGATTTTTATTTTTTAATAAAACAAACAATTAACTAATTAATCCTAAAAATGTAAAAACAAACCTAAATGCAATGCATGATATTTTTGGCATTTTCATGATTTTAACAAAAATAAACATGCACAGAAATGTAAACAATTAGCACAAATTCCCATAAAATCCTATAAAATTGTTAAAAAAGGAAAAAAATTATTTTTTCTTGTATTTTATGGGAGTAATTCCTATAGGACAAAAATCACGTACTCACACCTGCACCCTGCCCTCTTCCTTCTACTCCTCTTGATCTCCAGGTCCATAACTAGGAGCCTATGTAGAGTCGTGAGATGCTCACTTGGGATGACCTTGCAGTCAATGCACAGACCTTTATCACATTTCTTGCAAAGAAGATAATCAATTTGAGTCTTGCCCATTGAATTCCAAAAAGTGACCAAGTGCTCTTCTCTCTTCGGAAAATTCGAATTAGCTATAATCAAATCAAAAGCTCTAGCAAAATCCAACAGTGATTTACCTCCCTCATTCCTAACTCCAAAACCGCACCCGCCATGCACATCATCATAACCCCTAGCACTAGCCCCAATATGGCCATTGAAATCTCTGCTAATGAACAACTTCTCTGTGTGCGGGATACTACGTACCATCTCGTCCAAATCCTTCCAAAATTGCTTCTTAACCTCCTGGTCCAACCCTACCTGAGGAGCGTAAGCCCTAATCACGTTTACAGTAAACTCACCAACTACCAGCTTAATACTCATCAACCTATCATTTACCCTCCTAACCTCAACCACGAGCTCCCTGAGGTCCCTGTCTATTAAAATGCCTACCACATTCTTACCCCAGCGCTCCCTGAGTACCAAAGTTTAAACCCGTCTACATCTCGTGCCCTAGTATCCTTCCATCTAGTCTCCTTAACATACACTATGTTGATCTTCCTTTTCTGGAGAATCTTACCTAAATCTATACACTTCCCTATCAACGTCCCAATAAATATACCTGTTTAATAGATGTAAATACAACAGGTTGAATACATACTTATATAATCTACTAAATACATACTTATAGCCGCTATCAATCTGCTGAATACTTATTCAGTTTTTGACTTGGATATACAATCCAAACGACTGAATCTAATTACATTTACTTAACTGAACACCATATACATTCGAATACATCCTGTTTAATACATACTTATTCAGTTTTTGAATAGACAAATCCGACCAAATAAATACAGTTACATACACATTTGTATAAGTATGAATTTAACATGTTTAAAAAATATAAATACAACAGGTTGAATACATATAAAACATGTAATATTCCGGTTTCTGACTTGGACATACAATCCAAACGACTAAATCTGAATACCTACTAATACACTGTGTTGAATACATATGAATATAACCTGTTGGATACATATGAATACAACATGTAGATTAAGTGTGAATACTGATGCATAAAATAATGAAACATCGATTGAATACTTGAAATGATCATATATAAACACTGTGGATACAGTGATTAAAATGAAAATATGATTTTTTTTCTTAAATGAACACCATCTTCACCAAAACAATATCCAAAAAATAGTATTCACATAAAACTACCTTCCAAAATTACATTCACCTAAAACTACTCTAAAACTATCTTCAACGAAGAATCTAACTCCGTGATTGCCTAACAATTTTTTAAGGTGCTTCGTTCTTGCTTATGGCATCAGCGTCTATCTTCCGCATAGTATAGTCCCAGAGGAGAGCACCATATCTTTGACAGAGTAAATTAGCATCAAATGTTGTTTGTGGAACCACACCAAGAGTGCTCAGAAACTCTTCGTATGCCGCAACATGCATCCCACAATCCCTGAAAATATAGATTGAAACAATTAAAAACAATTCATATTATTAGAATTATAAATGATACAAGAAAGAGGCTTGAATACATACATGCTCCCAGATTTTTGTTGAGGCAGATTTGTTATGAAAACAACATCAAAGGGATCAGTTTGTGACTTATCAGTGTATGCTAAGTCATGAGACCAATCTATGCCTTGCTTATCTCTGTAAAAATTACTGATTGATAGATACATAGGTACAAGCTTATCTATCTCAGAAGCTACATAGGCATCATGACCTGCAGATCTATATGAGTCATACACTTTGATACATCTCTCCTTGAATGAGACAACTGCCAATATCCAGTGTAGTTTGTCCTTCAGGTTGACTGGTATCAAGACATTGTTAACAGTATGCCAAGGTACATTGGATAGCAATCTGTAGCCCCTTATGTACTCACATACCACATCCTCTTCTTTGGCTACATTTGCATTACTATCTGTATCAACATACTTGTCAAAGATTTCAGCGATCCTTGTCTTGAATATACAATCAACAGTTGTATATTTGAAGTTGGTTGTTTGGTTGTACTTGCCCTTCTTTTTCAAATAGTAAAATATGACATCAATATACTATAAACAAATTTAAATACATAGCGTTAGTACATTGAATAAAATCAAGGAAAACAAACTGAATATAATAACTGAGTATAAAAGTATCAGAAGCTGAAAACAAATGGAATGAACATAATTCTATACATTAAAGGTTAAAAAATAATNATATATATATATATATATTTGATGCATAATACAGTTAAATATATTCTGTTAACTAAATAAATATAAATACTAGAATAGTTCAGAAACTAATCAAGAAAAGATACTGCTTGAATAACACATGAACAATATAAATACAAATGCATACAATTAAATACACATTTGACCCATACATCTGAATACAGTTAAATACATAGAAATCATGTAAGACATATGAATATCAGTATGTTTACATAGCAAATGAACAATATAAACATAAATTTGTGTGAGAGCTCAAATTGTGAATTATACAATTAGAAAAACCAATCATAAAAAAACGAATTAAATTGGATTTTGAAGGGGTATAGCTTACATTGTCATCCTATAGTTTACCGTCAAATGAGAGAAGGTAAAACCAATTTTTTTTAAGTGACTTGATCAACTCCAAAATCCAATGGTAAATGAAGTGTTGACTTGTTCTTCTTGTAATGGTCTTCTAAATCACTTTTACAAGGAATTGGAAAAAAATATTATATCCATTTTCAAAAATATAAATACATAATAGACATACCGGGGAAAAAACTCACTTTTGTTCATGTCTAGCGAAAAGAGCATCACGAACCCATTTCTCGTATTCCTGAATGACTAATGTAGGATGTGACCCCGTATTAAATCATCTTCAATTGGGTATCTTTTTTCAAATATGGGAGTCAACTTTACTGAGGTACCTATTGTTCATTGAAGTCATGAATAGAGACATTTAATTAAAGATATCATGGGGAAATAGATCATAACTTTATAAACCATTATTTTTGTTTAATAATTCACTAACCGACGGAGTCGAAGTTTGACTCGTAAGGAGAAGAATATCATCGACTTGGTCGCCGATTCCTATGAGATGGTAATGGGGTAGATTCAACATTTTTTGCTGCATGATGTATCACAATTCTAGTTTCAGGAATTTGACTTGGAAGAAACTTATCGTCTAGCTCAAATTGTGATACATCGAATTCTCTAGATACACCCTCTTTGCATATAGGTGGTATGTTACACGGCACCTCCGATGTAGTATTCCACTCCACTCTTACCTCAACACAAAGAGAATTAACATCTGTATTCTGGTAAATGTATACATATCTATGTTAGTGTATTATAAAAGACCTATATACATAAACACATTCATGTTTATGAATACATCTAAATACATGTAAATACAATACATGTTTGAATGTGAATTTGGGTTTTGTTGAGGCAATATTTAAATACATTTAACTACTGTTTTCTTATTAGGTAAAAATATAGTCAGAAAATAGAATACAAATAAATACATTTGCATACATGTTAAATTAATTAAATATACTGAAGTAATATGTATATACTTGTATTTCAGAATATGTATGATGTTTTATATATGATTAACTGAATAAGTGCACAAACGAGATATAAACATATACTAAAGAGGTTAAAAAATGTTAACCTCTACATTCTCGCCGACAGCTATATCACTCTGTGTTTGGCCTTTAGGATTATCTTGCAAGTTGGCATCAGATGACATTTGAATACCATCATCACGTCTCTCTGTGGTTTTCTTTCTCTGGTATACCCTTTCCTTTTGCTGATTGTCTTGAAGATGTTCAGGAAGCTTCTTAAAGTTTTCATTAATCAATGATCTCAGAGACGTGAACTCACCCATCACCTTATCCATACAGAAATAATTAGAGAGGTGCCCCAAAAATATATGAATGTTAAGCACTAAACTGCAATGTTTAATATATGCATAAAAAACTCACATATTCTTTGAATGAATATAAATCTTTCCTTAAAGAAGATACTTCATCAGGAGAAGAATCTGCCGACTTCTTGTAATGCAAAACATTTTCACCAATTTTCAATATGCCAAAAGGAGGAATCTTTGATTGAGTCTCTGCATTTAAGCGATCTATAATCTGTTCTTTGCACTTTTTTTGTGGGGCGGTGATGAAGATGGAACAACATTTGCAGCATGTTTCTTCTTAGACTGAAGATGCAGTGTAGGAGTAAAGTCATCCGAATCCTCTACGGACTTGTCTGAATGAGTAGGAGTAGGACTGTTCTCTACATCAACGCCTACTAGAGGAATTTGAACAACAACAAACTCTATATCGCTTGGCTGGATGTCATTGTAAAGAATCTGAAATACAAAATACACTTAAAGTGAACTACAATTGTTGTATGCAAATCTAAAATCAAATGTAGGTTGTATGCAAATGTAGGATGTATGAAACTGTATTGACTAACAGAAATATATTCTAAAACAAATAACAACCACTTAATAAATAGTAAATTACCATGTTTACCTGGTCATTGAACATGTCGTTCATTAGATAAGCATAGGTTGGCTGATTGACGGCGGATCTCCAATTGAGTATTCTGGGTACCCGGTTATCAACTCGCAGTGCAGTTTTGGGATCAACATTTGAACAACACTCATAAAACCAAACTTGCATAGCGAGAGGCATCCCAGCTATCCTACTGTACTTTTTTGAGAATCCATCTTCTTACTAATAGATTTTATAAGGTTTTCGAATGCTTTTATACCGCATGGATAATTAGAGTATCTCCCACTCTCGACCAAGTCAAAATGTAGTCTTGGGATGATTGTGCTGTTCTTCTCGGATGAAAATATAAAAGTATGTATTAAATACAACACAACTATCTTGATGGCATCCCCATCGTTGTCATGATCCCAATTCTTGTCAACAAAGTATGTCAACAAATCTTTCTTTTTGACAAGATTTGCACCGCCAAAGTATGTCTCAACAATTTGGTTAGGCACCTTTTCATTGAACTGAAAACTATCAGGATCACCAACACAGTTGAGACCAGTGACCAGCGCAAACTCCCTTATTGAGAAAGATAATTTTGTACCATTGAAGTATATTGAAAATACATCATCATTACTTGATTCTAACTATAGAACCATGAAGCACCTAAACAATTGATGTTGGACTTCACAATGCTTCATTTCAAAGAAGCTTCCAAAACAAGTATTACTCAGTTGTTTGTACTGCTCTGGAGTAAGTTTTTCTTTGAGGTCGGAGACTATGTCTGTGTTAGTATATGAACTGATATGCGGTGAAAATATAGGCTGTTGTTTCACAAATAGCTTAACTTCCTGCATACAACAAAAAT